CCGCAAAAATGATTTAGTTCCTTAATGGGCATTTTGTATTTGGTTTTGCGTATTTTATATTAAAATAATAAATATTTCGTTTCCGCTATAAATACTCTCTCTCCATAAGATGTTATTTTTTCCAAGTTGTAATAATATTTGTAATTAAATATATACAGTGTATACAGTAATTATCTGATTTCTGTTTACCCACCTCACCCATTAGAAGAGTCCCCCAAAAGTACTCGAAGCCATCTTCCGCATAAATTTACCCAGTGTATTTTCCTGAAACGACTGTGCTCGTTAATTGTTGTTCACAACTCATCAAAGCGCCCCCCAACAAACAAAAAACCGAACAAAATGACAAACTTTATTTAAATTTGGTAATCGTTGCCAGCAAATGTAAAGTCATGAGCACGATGTGTTATTTTTGGCCAGCATCATGGTCGCATTGTTGTTTCAGGGCCAGAAAGCGAATGTTGAGTTGGTAAAGCATATAGTGTGTACGTTGGACATGTAGCACCCGCATTTCGTATTCCAAATGGAATCCAATCTTGTTTCGGTAATTGTGGCAGCAACACGGCAACATCTTGTTGCTGGCCATTCGAAAGTTGTCCATGAGTTGTCCATGTTCAATGAACCTTTTAAACTGTTACCATTTCTCGTTTGGAGTTTGAGTGTGAGTTCGTGTCCGAAGTCTTTTGTTTCCGAATTGATTTTTTCCGTGGAAATGTGCGTGGCCAGCTCAGGGTAAAATGGTAATGGAATCATGAAAACGGTAGCCCGAATGGAAAGTGTTTTCCGGCTTTTCCCTCGCCCAGTTAATGTCTCAATTAGTCTCCTAATGAAGTTGCCCAGAACGGAAAAATTAATTCCGATTGCCATCCCATTACGAACTACATTGTAGGGCTCTCATGCATATTTATCGCTAGCCATTGCCAGGCACAATATGGCTGAAAATCAAGGAATCATTAAGGCTTCAAACTGGAGAAATAATAGCTCATTACTGTAAAAAAGTAATCTACTTTAACAAATAAAATAATAATTTAATGAATTAGATAAAACTTTCTAATAAAATATTTTTAAAGATATTTTAATACTGTATTTACTTTGAAAATATTATTAATTTTTCGTTATATTTTTCTTGAGTTAAAGTGTAAACCAAACTCAAATCTTTTGCATTTTCTCAAGGTGCATTCAAGATTTCCGAATACATATGGGATCTGATTAGCTAATCGGCTGATGGTCCAGACCCGATTCAATCGAATCTCATTAGTTTGTTTTCCATTTTGTGCTGAGTTGTCACAGCCGGGGCAATTTGGCTCTAATTGAGACACAATCAATCACAAGGCAACCAAAATCGATTCGAAATTCGTTGAATTCAAACTCGATCGCTGCACTTCCGCTGAGCCATTGTTGCATTTTCAATTAGCCCGCTCGCCGCTTTGTATTTACACGGCATTTACATTTACATTTCCATTTACATTTCCGTGGTCAGACGTTGAAGCTCGGCCAGAAACCGATAAAAGAAACACCGGCCTCGGAGATAAAATAAAGGTGAAAGCGTCGACATTGGCGGCAAGATTAGAAATTCTTCTTCAAGTCCCCTCCTTCTTTTTTTCGGGTCTTTGGTGGTAATTGTAAGTGTAATGGCCATGGCAGTTGTAATTGTTATTGCCGGCCGGGCCCAGAATAATGCCCATTTCCTGTCATGTTCGCTGCTCTGCCGATTTTTCACTTCTAATTCAATTTCTAACTCGCTGTTTTGCTTTCTTTTTGGCGCCTCACGGCCACATAATCGTAATCAAGTCGAACAGGTTGACCAATTTTCGGATTCGTGTTTGTAAAAAGTAGAAATTACAATAAATAATAACAAAATAATTCGCAAAATGGGCAAAATATTTTCGGGGAAAATTTTTCTTATAATATTTGATATTTTTCTCTGAATGCTTAAATCAATATTTAATCTTAGACGAGTATTTTGCTTTAACTTTCTAAATCTTACACTTATATAAAAAACATTGAAAAGCATTTAGCACAAGTAAAACTTTCGAGTTTCTTGTGATATTATTTTATTTATTTTTACAACATTTTTTTTATTTTATTAACATAACACGATTTTTCAATCATTAATCATTATTTTTGTGAGACATAGATTGGAGGCCTGAGTTTTTTTCCCAAACACTTAGCTTAACCCACTGTGGCCTGCAGGTGAGCCAAAAAATAATTCGCCAGCCTGCGGGATTCCTGATCTAGATTCCACTCGAAGTCGGAATCCAGTGGCGAAATCGAGCTTTGGGCCATGCTGCAGGGCAACTCGGTTCTTGTCGCTCCCCAAACTCCGCATCCCGCATCGCATTGTGTTTGCTTTTCTTGGGAAATGGAAAATGGAAAAGCGAGAGAAGCGCAGAGAGAATGTGTGGTCTCTGTCTCTAGGTTTTGTTTAGGCCATTAGCCACCCACAGAATGGAGCTAAGTTGGGATCTTGGGATCTGGGGATCAGAGGGCATTGGAGCAGACCACCCGGAAAAGCGAGAAGAGAAGAGATTTTAGGTTTTTCGGAAAGGGGAAATCGGATGATAGATGATCGATGCTTGGGATGTTTGGCAGCTGGCCAAGATGGATGATCGGATGTGGATGTGGGCTGGGTCTTCAGATAGCCGATCAGCGATACATCGATTCAACGATCAACTATCAACCATCAACGATCAATGGCAGGCAATTCAATTAGCCAATTAGGCATTGCCAATTGGCAATTGGCGAGGCACTGACATTTGTAATTACACCTGAGCGATGCCATAATTTGCACAATTGGAGCGCGGAAGTTGCACAAGTTGCACAGGTTGCGGAGTTCTGGCCAAGATTATAATGGTCTGTCAGCACTGTGGGCCAATTGTGGGCCCAATCAAAACGGAAGTTGGCATTGGGTGGGGACCGCTGCGAGCACTTGGTAAAACCACCTATAATGCAGCCACACCACCTATGAATACGTGTGTATATTATATATATCTGTCCCCAACAACGATCGGATGTTATTGCTGGCCGATCGGCTTCCGTTTTGGCGCCATCCGAGGAGCAGAGGAAGCGATCTGCGATCTTCCCCTCTAATTGATTGATTGCGCAAATTGCGGCAACTGGATCGCGGATCTTCTGGCATCGGGAGTCGGGAATCGGGAATCTGCAACCTGCCGTCCAGTGCGTGAAGATGGGCTTCCTTTTGTTTTTCATATTATCGGAATTATTAGTGCATTTATGATTGGCATTTATGGAGAGAAATCATTATTTTAATGCCTTTAAATTAATTTTTTCCTCATTTCTATTATGCATTTTACTATTATGCATTTCCATAATAAGTATTATTTGTATTTTATGGTGCATAAGCAGGCCTTTATAGTTTCTCACAATTATCTTAAAGAAAATAATCCATTACAATCTAATATACAATCTACTTAAAGATTTAAAATCTGAGTTTTTCTTGAGTTATTCTGCTTTTATTCAAAGACTTTTTTTATATTTTTGGATAGAAGAACACATTACAGGGTACCAAAATTATTTTGCCTTGGGAATATATCGCAGACCGAACCCCTGAACAATTTGTCTAGCTGCAGGCCTCGCCCAGGCGGTTAATTAATTACGAATTCGAGCTGGAATTCGAATTCCGATTGGCCGCAAAAGGGGCGCTACCCTGTGACCCCAATCAGAAATCAGAGTGTATTAAGTTCTTATAAAGGCTTCGGGTTAAATGGTACAAATGCGAATGAGAGTAACAAATCGATTTGTGGTGGCTGCCGGTTTTTGTGCTTTTTGTCAATTAATTGTCTTGTGGCCATAAATTAATGGCTTTGGGCTAAGCCATAAGATCTGGCAACCCCAGTTACGTAATAGTAACTGAAGCCGAAAGAACAACAATGAGAAGTTCTTGAGAATCTAGAGCCATTCTTTTGTTTCACGTATGTATTTTTGCGGTTGTCATTCTAGCGGCACTTTTGTCGTAGGCGTCGGCTGATCGTCGTCACCCTCGAGCGCCCCTCAGAAGACCCACAAGATCCGAAGAATGAGTGGCGAAGAACGCAGAACGAAGAAAGTGTGGTGTAGAATTCTTCTTGGCCCTTTTGGCAGTTCGTACTTGTTGCTTTCGCAATTCCAGATTAGCAACACGGTCTTCCTATCGGCTATTTCGCCGCTCACTTTCACATGGGGTATTTGGCTCGTTGGTCTAGAGGTATGATTCTCGCTTCGGGTGCGAGAGGTCCCGGGTTCAATTCCCGGACGAGCCCAAGTTGACAACTCCTTTTTTTTTTCGTTCCTCTCTAATCTTGGGCAATATATGTATTGCGATATTTTCTCCCAAAGCCCTTGATAATTGAGCTTATGCGATCGTTATCGTGGGCACTGAGTTGCAATTTTGGGTTCACTCAACGGGAACTCGGTTCTGCGAAGAGAGCGTGTGTTCTCTGGGCAACTGACTGACTGACTCACCTGGCTGGGGGTTTTCTGATGGACAGGAAGACGATCCACGAGGAACAGCGTGCGAACGCATAATGAGATCGAGGAAGTGACTCACAATCGAGGGAAGTTGGGGAACCAGAGTTTGCACAAAGGTCTGCTGGCTGGATTATGCACAAAGGAAGTGCTAGAGTAATTAATTGCTGCTTTAAAAATAAATTGTAATTTATTTTCAGGGATTAATTAATATTATACGTTACATTCGACCAAATATATCTTTGTATATAATATAATATTGATATAATATATTTTATTGATTGAACCAATGACTAATGAATTTCTTTTTCTTCTATTTTCAGGTATGTTTTTCGTCGAAATCCTTTCAAAGTGTGTATTATAAGTTTGGAAAAGAGGTAAGTTCTTAATAGTGAGAAATATTTTAAATGGGAAGTTAGGGATAGTTAGGCCGAGGTACTGCCAGGAGAAAGATGTCAGAAATTGTAGAACCTGACGAATCCAGCTAGTCTCAGCTATATAGCAGCCACGCCTTGGGGGCGTGCTTCCCCCTGCCGAGGATGAAGTTTGGCAAGACTTTCGAGTCCCACCTGACGATCGAGTGGCGCCAGCAGTACATGCGATATGCGGTAAGCTGGGTAGCTGGCCTTAGGTATGTGATATATGTGATATGTAGACCGAAAACACACACCCCCCAAGGATCTCAAGGCGCTGATCAAACAAGGCGTGGAGAACGCCCCCTCGCCGCTGACCTCCGCGGACTATGAGGTTCAGGCCTACTACCGGGCCTTCGAGGAGACCTTCCTCACCGAGTGCCAAACGGAACTGGATGGGGTGAACAACTTCTTTCTGGAGAAGCTCCTGGAGGCGCGGCGCAAGCATGGCCACCTGAAGCTGCAGCTTTTGGCCTATTCCCGGGCGCCAGGACACACGGGCAGTGATACCTCGATGGTCTCCTCCTCCTCGAGGATCCAGAAGCGGACCATGACCCCGCGCCAGCTGCGGTACGCCTATGCCGAGTTCTATCTGAGTCTGGTGCTCATCCAGAACTATCAGTCGCTTAACGAGACGGGCTTCCGGAAGATCTGCAAGAAGTATGACAAGAATCTGCGCTCCGCAGCGGCGGGCAGGTGGTTCGAGGACAATGTCCTGGACGCCCCCTTCACGCACGTCGGCCAACTGCAGCGCATGACCCTCGAGGTGGAGGACCTCTACACGGCCCATCTGGCCAACGGGGATCGGTCGCTGGCGATGGAGAAGCTCCGGGTGCCGCCCCTGGGGGAACCCACTCCGCCGGCGATGGTCTTCCGGGCGGGCATAGCCCTCGGCACGCTCGTCATGCTGCTCCTGGCCACCGCGATCAGCTGTAGGTTGTTGGCTTCGAATGGGTTGTGTTCACTCCTAGTCCCCAGCCAATGCACAGTAAAAATGCTCAGATCTCCTAGTCCTCAGATAGCATTATAAGCTTTGTAGCTAAAGGTTACAAAACTTATTTTCAACAGATATTACTTGTTAAATTTCTGAGACTTTTGCAGAAATCATTCCTATTCTGATAAGAATTAGCAAATTCGTTAATTTAATTTTCAATTTTCACTTTTTTATCTCTTACGTTTTTGTTATATAGTAATATTAAACATAACATATTTAGCTAATACAAAGATTTTAAAGTTTGATTTAAATATGAAGGCATTTTTCATTAAATTAATGCCTAAAGTAAATATAATAAAAATCGTTCTTAGTAGAAAATATACATTATTTCAAATATTCTTAAATAATTGAAATATTTCTTTTAAATATTCAATACAACATTTTTAGTACTCAGATATTTTTTGTTTTATCAGACTTTTAAAACTACATTCAGTTAGCTATTTACTGGGCATTGCTGGGTGGTGGGACCTTCATATGCCAGGATATAATCTGATTCCTCCTGCCCATGCCCACCAACCCCCCGATCTGTAGACTGGAAACGGGCTCCGCTGGAGAACGATGCCCCGGAACTGATGCGCCTGTACCGCGGTCCCTTCACCTGGGTGATCTTCAACTTCTTCATGGCGGCCAATGTGGCCGGGTGGCAGCAGGCCGGCGTGAACCATGTGCTGATCTTCGAGATCGACCCCCGGAGCCACCTGCAGCCGGCGACGTTCCTGGAGATCGCCAGCACCTTCGGCATCCTGTGGGCCCTCTCCATGCTGGGCTTCCTGCACCACGTCCGCCTGGGCATCTCGGACCCCTTCGTCTTCCCGCTGGCCCTCATCCTGATCATGGTGGGTCTGCTGGTGGTGCCGCTGCCCATCATGAACTGGCCGGCCAGGTGGTGGACCATCAAGCTGGTGGGTCGCGTCATCTCCGCCCCGCTGCACTACGTGGGATTCGCGGACTTCTGGATGGGCGACCAGCTCAACTCGCTGGTCACCTGCATCGTGGATCACTACTACATTGTGCGCTTCTATGCGATCAGTTGGCTGCGGTACGAGAGGGTCTGCAACTGCTTCGAGCCGGATGTGATTGTGCCCATAACGATGTGCCTGCCCGGCTGGTTTCGGTTCGCCCAGTGCCTGCGGAGATTCCGGGACAGTGGCTCCAAGTCGGTGAGCTACCTGATCAATGCTGGGAAGTATGCGACCACATTTCTGGTGGTCCTTTTCGCCACACTGCGCGGCAATTCGGAGGGTAATCGCTCGGATCCGGAGCTCCTATTTGAAAGCCCTTGAGTCTTGAAATCCCGACATCCTCGCCCCCAGGTGAATACGCCAGTACGTTCAGCAACCCGTACACCTGGCTGTTCCTCGCCAGCTGCGTGGTGGCCACCGTCTACTGCTACTTGTGGGACGTCATCCGGGACTTTGGCCTCTTCAGGATCATGCGCGGCGAGCATATATTCCTGCGCAAGCAACTGGTCTATCCGCAGGCCTTCTACTACTTCGTCATTGTCGAGAATCTCGTGCTGCGGCTCTTCTGGGCCGTGGAGTTCGCCATCCTGTATCACAACCTGATGACGCCCTACAACACCAAGACCATCAGCAGTATCCTGGAGATCACCAGGTGAGAGCGGGGGGGTTGAAGGGACGAAGCGCATGGAAGGCACTGCAAACACCACTAACGATTTATTCTGGAAAAACGCCTAGGTTAGTTTGATATTAGGGATCCGATCATATCTTTAAAAATGCTCAAATTATAAATATTCTATGAAACTAAAATTATTAGATCGTAATTTAGTAGTATAGTGGTTAGTTGTGATCTAGGATTTAATATCCATAAACTAACAAAAATCCGAATTTTTTTTATATTCTAAAAACATTTTTATAGAACTTTAAACAATATATGTTAAACTAGGAGAATATAAAGCTAAACTTTATACAGATTTTAAAGATTTAAAATATTTTTTCAGAATTGAATATCAATATTAAAATACATTCAAAAAGGAAATATAATTATTTTCTTAATTAAAAAAAAATCAGTAATGGTTCAAAAAATTCTACAAAATGATTCGAAGGCGTTTTTCCCATAAACCAAGTGGGCTAGTGAAACAGCGCCCCCGTTTTGTTGAGTGTACTCTGTCCCCTGCCCCCAGACGCTTCATTTGGAACTACGTGCGGCTGGAGAACGAGCACTTGTTCAACTGCGGCAAGTTCCGAGCCACCAGGGAGATCCATTTGGCGGCCCTGAATCCCTCGCCAGGAGCGAATGCTGGAGAGCATGATGGACGAGTCGGATGGCGTGACCAACCGGCGCAAGTCGAAGGAGCGCATTCGCCTGGGGAAGGAGTACTTCTAAGCCAGCTGCTGATCTGTGTTCAAACCCCCCCTCGATCTCCCCAGCGATCTCTCGTTAATGGTCCGTCGTCGTCTTTAATTAATTCATTTGTGCAAAAATACAAGTCAGATGGAAAGACAGAGCGACTGGAGAAAGGGAGCACGAGGAGCACGCGCCAAACCGGTTGACCAGCTGCACCCAAAAGTGGTAACTCCCCTCGGGACTCCCTTCTGCATACGTGTGTATATATATACATATATCGTCCGATCAGGTAACAATTGTCATTGCTGGCAAGGAGGAGCAGAGGAGCGAGGAGAGGAGAGGATCCTCGTGGCGAGCTCCCGATCACGGATCGCCATCGCCATCGCCATCGAACAAGCTGTTCGACAATCTCTTAATTGACTCGCATCGAGCTTTGATTGGCCTCGTAATTAGCCAGGAAAGAAGAGGAGAAGGAGGATGATCACCGATCACCCATTCTAAACCCATTCAAGTCCGGAGAAAGGCGTTTGAACGGGAGAAATGTTTCGGTTTCATATTTTGTACATCGAGCTTTGTATATAAAACATTGAGTGGTTTAAAAGCATTGCATTTTTCTGTTTTAAATATAACTTTTTAGCGTACTAAATAAGTTTTTAAAAATATTTATTTACGATGCTCTAACCTTCTTATTGTGTTTATGATAGGAAATTAGTTTTAATCGGAAATTGGAGAAATTGTTTTGTGGTTTTGTAATGCACAATAGTAAAATGATACAAAGTTATCGGGGATCTTAATTCTTCAAGGATTTGTTGAAAGGTTAAATCCGATTTTTTTAAAGAATTTAGGCTTTTTCCAAGGCTTTAGTGTTTGAAATCCCCAGAAATTCAATGACTTTAAAAACTGAAGTAATAGGCTTATCTAATACTTAAGGATTCTTAGGCTGCGACCTTTTGTTTGGGCATTAAAACCCTTAGGCAGAAGCCAGAACAAAGGATGACTCCTAAAGAATTATCTCGATCCTTTTTCCCTGCTTCTTTATTTTATTTGTAATTCGATATGCAATCAAATTCTTTCATTTGGGGATCAGTGAAGCAAAGGAGTAAGGCAATCAGACCTTGATAGCTGGCCACACTGGAAAAAAAAAATTGAGAGTTTTTTAAGCTTTGATATAGATGTTTAATTTAAATAAAATAAAATAAATTAAGCCCTTTCTTTTATTCTTATTATTTTCAAACATTAACATAATTTCACATGCGAAATTGAGCATTTTTCTAGCTGTTTTTTTGTCTGGTCAACTAGTAGAGGCACTTTTTTTTGTTGTTCCCTAAGTTTGTCTTGATTTTTTTGCGACTGCAACTTATCTTTCACTCGAAGCGAGTCTTTAGTGGCTGACTTGAGCACGAGTCAAACATAAATTTACCATTGACTTGTTGATGTTGCTGCAGCATTTGCCGATGTTGCTGCTGCTGCTGTTGCTGGTAATGGCAACTGCAATTTATGCTGCTTGTCGCGACTGGCGACGCCGGCAATGTCTCCAGAGAAAAGCGGAGAAAGGGAGACGGCGGCTATTATTAATTGCTGCCGCTGCTGACGATGTTGCTGCCGTGTCAATTAAGCTGCCTGCACAGCAGCAACATTGCAACACTGCAACGCTGCGATATGTGCTGCAGTTGATGTTGCTGTTGCTGCTTGTATTGCTGTTGATCTTGGTACAGTTGGCCGCGCTGCACACGCGCCAAAAGCAGACCAAAACAAATAAACAAACAAACGAAGGAACCACAGCAAACCAAGCCAAACGAAACAAAACAAACAAATAAAAGGCAAACGGGCAAACAAATGCAATGTGAGTGTACGAGTACGAGTACGAGTACGAGTTCGAATACGAGTACTACAGTACTCAGGCAATCTCAGCCGAAACGATTGGAGCCTGGCCAAAAGGCGACAACCACTGGCCAAACAAGGTCCAAACGGCTTTAAGCCCAGTTTTCTGCCCAAGAGGGCGGCTCCTTAACTTTGCAAAAAAGTCTCGAATAAATCTCTTGAGCAGATATAGAATTTAATGATTTAAATTAAAATTTAAGGTATTTATTATTATAGAAATAAAACTTAGGATTGCATAGTGTTAGCATATATTTCTTATTTCTTATAATTATTTTTGCATTGAACATAATTATTATATTTAAATATTTTTTTAAGATTTCCTACCATAAAAGCTAGTGAACTGCCCAACTCTTTATTATTCCTGGCCATGCGTACTTCATGATTTATGATCACTTCTTCTTTCCCTGCGATGTGAGTGCCCCCAGTGGCCAATGTCCAACTTTGGGCATATATCTATATATATACATGGTACTTTGGTACTTAGATGGCCAACTGCAGTTGCCTGTTTGGCCGTTGTTTACTATTTGTTACCTCTTTTTGTGGCTAGAAAATGGCGCGCAAACAACAAGCTGGCGTACAAAGTCCAAAGAACTGCTCCTAACTTGGCCTGAGCCCTTTTCCGTGGCAGCTTTTTTGTTAGCCAGCTGAGCTTGATGGCCAGCTCGTGCTAAATTTAGCCAAGGAGCAGGACATGTTGGCTCGTTTGTTGTGTGCTGTTTGTTGTTTTGGCGATGCAAAGGCAAAGAAGGAAGAACCAGTTTGGCTCCTTTTCCTGGTTTCCAGTTTTATGTGCGCGCGCGCGATGATCCCTCGTTGGCCCCTTCGCAGATCCCCCTTTGGAGAACCCCCCTTTGAAAACCCCTTTTATGGAGCAGCACGCGTCCATAAGCTCGATATCTCCGATATCCCCGCTTTTTATCGCCACTTCTCTCGGCCTCAGCGGGGATTTCTTCTGACGCAGCTCATAAATTTATGTGGCAGCCTTTTGATTGCCTTTATGCTGCCGTTTTTTCTCTCTCTGTCTTCTCTTTTTTCGCTTGTTAATTTGTGCACATAAATTGGCTGGCAGCCAGGTTCTATAGCCGATATTCCTACCTATATGTACATTGTGCACATATCCCCTTCTCCCTCGCCGATCACTTGTCGAGTTTTATCAGCGAAATTTCAGACAACCAGCTGCCCGGTTTTTTGGGGCTTTAGTTTCAGCTGCAGGACTTTTTGGTCCTGCCAATGCAGATGGTTTTTAAATTTTAGTATGTACATTGTACAAGGAACGTGCCAGGCATTTTTGAACAGCTAGAAGGAAAAAACTTTAAAGAATTCCGAGAAGTTTAAATGGAATTTTTTTGTATAGGTATACCGGTCGAAATGTGAAGACATTTTCAAATCGGACCATTCATTAAAGTTATACGCTTTATAAATTGTAACATATATCTTCTCCCTCCCCCCCCTTTACCTAAGTTACGATTATTAATCGGGACACCAACCCCACCCCCCCCTCTCCTTAGCTGGGTGAAGGATAAAAAAAAGAAAGAAACACCACCCAAAAAAAATAATAAAAAAAAAAAAAATAAAAAAAAAAAAAAAAAGAATTGGGTTGTTTATTTTTTGATATTTTTTAGCTCGATTTTAGTTTCAAGTTTATATTTAAAGTTTTTGCTAGAATCACTGGTATATCTCAGCCAATTACGATACATTGTTTGAACTGTTTTTCCCCACCCAAAACCCGAGCTTACAACACCGTTTCTTGGGACCAGATAATTTTCTGCTTATCCCCAGTGGGCACCCACTGACCACCCAATTCTTGACCAACAATTCAGATCTGTGTAGCTCCACCTGCTTTATTAGCATTAACCATTAACCAGGCGAAGCCGAGTCGATTGGGCAACCGACTAATGTAGATCAACTATGGCGAAGTTGCGGTGACTGGAGGCGACCTTCCTCCCATTTTCAGCAAATTTCAACCGGCCACGCCCCCTAACTGCGCCCACTTCTGGCCTGGCCATAATGAGCTGATGGATGTTGGCCGTTAGCGGTTGGCAGCATGGAAAATTGCAAATTATTATGACGGGGGAGAAGTTGCAAATGTTGGATTTCCTAGGCCTGCAGAGGGGGGAAATGGAAATCGAAGGCGACAAGTGATTTTCAGCGATTCGGCAGCTGCGGCAAATGAATTTCAATTTAATTAGCCAACCCAGAAAACAGCAGGTGTTTGTGTGTTTTTACTGTGTGAGCCAAAGGAATGCCAATGTAATTGCCACAATTTGTTGCCGGCTGCTGCACGACCAGCAGCAACACACAAAAATTATGATAATTGTCAACGTTTCAATTGAATTCTCAATTGTCAGTCGGGCTTGCTAGGTAAAATGTGATGAAATCACAGATAAATCTACAAAAATGCATCAATATAAATATTTAGGAAAACCAGAGAAGCTATGATAAATTTATTAAACTTTTAAAGTTAAAATTTAAAAACAAAAACATGTTTTTACACAGCAGTTGCCTTATAAAATGTTAAAATTTATTTACATTTATAAAATTATTGCTTATCATAAAAAAAGAAAGAAAGAAGGAAAATATTGACCTACAAATTAAATTTAAAATTTAATTATATAAAATCACAGCTTAGCACAAAAGAAAAAGCATAATAAGAGTAAAATAAAAGATCCTAAGACGCATAAAATATGTCATATTTCTCTAATAATTTTATACAAAGTATAGCCAAATTATGATAAATTCATGCAGATACATTTTCTTCTCTGCGCACCCAAGAGAAGGGGGTTCAAAAGGGGAGGTGCGGGGGAGGGGGATAAAACCCTAAGCGGCTTTTGGCCATCTCGCGTCTTTTGTTTAATGATAAGCTCCCATCTTTAAGGCGCGCTCTTCTCGGCTTGGCTTGGCTTCGATTTCTGATTTCTGATTTTCGAGGCTTTTGGCGCGCAATATTCTCCTGACTGCCCCGAGTGCCACATAAACAAGGCTTCGGCGCAGCATCGACGAAAGGCCCCGGAGTCGGAGAAACTGGCCCCCAAAACAAAAGCTAATGGGCCATGAACCGAAAAAGGAGAAGTACGAAAAAGTAAAAAGTAAAGAGTAGAAGATAAAGAAGCAACCTCTCAGCCTCCAGGTCTGCAGCATCACGAGCATAGTGTGTATGGGTATATATG